CTCTCCTTCGGTAAGAGAGGGCGGACACACCTGCGGGTGGAGGAGTTTATTGGACACTGTCCTCCCTGACAGGAGGGGGCCTGGCAGCGGGAGGGCACGGGGTGCCGGCCTGGGGAGAGAGAGGAGTGCGAGGGGGCGGGAGGGGAGGCACCTCGGAGAAAGCTTCTCCGCCGCCTTTGCCGGCCGCCCCCCGCGCGAGTGCGGCCCAGCGGTGGGCCGAGGGCCGGAGGCTAGGTCCTCACAGCTCCTCGGTCCCCACTCCCGGCCCTGCCCCTGCCCGAGGCTGCTTGGCTGGGCCGACTTGCATTAACCAGACCGACTTGCATTCACCCACCACCTGGCCCCCAGGGGCTGTCAGCAGCCCCATCCACGTGTGTAAAATTCCAAGCCCTGGGAGCAGGTGCTCTTTCCCTGACCAAGCATGCGCCAACTGATATGTACCCCACAACCCCTCATGAGAACTCCAACCACCATAACAGTAGACGTTAATATGATTACTAAAACAGTATGAGTAAAAGTTAGAGACTACTTTGTATGGGGACTACAATCTCATTCCAGAGTTCCCAGACACATCAGGTTCTGCTGGCTCACAGTCCTAAACAAGCAGTTCCCAGACTGGAATGGGTAGTGTTCCAAAGTGAGTTCAAAAGTCACTTTCAGGAACTTAGAATGTATCTCCTTATGCGGACAAGACTTCCCATCAACATTTCCCAAACTCCCAAACTGAGCCTTGAGGAAAGGCTCCTGTGGTCAGTAGGTTTATAGAGGACCCTCCCGGCCAGTTCAAGGAATAATAAATAAAAACATCCCCTCTCACTCCAAGTTCTCCTGTAAATAAATCTCTATAGCTTTGTTTCATCTAGTATTTCCTTAAATTCATTCCACTTCAGATGACTTTCTCCTATAAAATGGACTTAGATCCTGCAAAATGTGAAATCCAGCTTGGTGAGATACACAGGCTATAGGATGTGCCTCAGTTGGGGTGCTTGTCCCACAAATGGCCATTAGATAGGTAAGAGACAGGTGCACCACTAGACTACGTGAAACAGAAGCTATCTTCTTAGTTAATTGTGGCACTGTAGGTGTGTTTGCACCTTTACTCCAAGAAAGTGACTCCCTTCTCCCTCTTCCCACATGGTAGCGCTTTTTCCCTTTTTACCCCAACCCCAGACATCGCTTCCATCTGTCTCTTTTCTTTCTCTCCTCTCCTTCCTTTGATCAATTTGTCATTCAGCCACATACCATCAAAGATGGGGGAAGAAGGTGTGTGTGCATGTGTGTCTCACTTGTACATGTGTGGACACATGAGTGCACACATGTGAATGCTGCCATAACTGGTGAGAGCTAGGAAAAGCACAGCAACACCAACATCCATACAAATCTATATACTAAAGTAAATAGAAAAGATTGAGGATTATCCACAGTTGCCAATGAACTTCTACTTCTTGTCATCCTTTCCCCCACTCCTCTCATCCCCTCCAGGCCCATCCCCTGATGACTATAGTCAGGTGCCTAGCAGACCAGAGCAATATTTGGGTTTATACTGCTCTCCTCCTGACTAAGGAGGATGGTTACAACTAAAACTTCTGTCCCTGCTAAGACAAAGTGGCCTGACTGTGGGTGACATGCTCTATCCCTTACTCCTCTGCTTACACACCACTGGCACCAGCTCTACCTTGACATCTGGAGTTCGTGGATCTTTTTGAGGTAAAGAAATGAGCAAAGCAGAAAGAATGGAGAAAGATAAAAGGGAATGAAGAGGCTGTCTGTGGTGAGGTGTAAAAGAAGAGCTAGTCACCAGGTGGGAAGGTTCTGGAGGAAGGAAGAAACGTAGCTTCCTGAAGAGTTTAGAGGTATCTGGAAACATTGGAGCTGGGAAGGATTCTGGGTTGAAGGGAACTTTTCTCCCTCACCTAGTTTTGTTAACTGGCCAGTGATCAGGGTAGGGAGCATCTGCCCACAGACTGGAGACCCCTGTGGACAGAGCTCAGCGTACTCTCCATTCACAGCACAGTCTCCTTTCCCCTAGAGTCCCCTGCCCCACCTCCCAGACACTGTGGAAAGCCTCACAAGTAGGACATCCTCCTAGCATCCCCCAGCCCTCCTTCCAACATAGGGACCATTTGTGCAGCACATATCTTCATGAAGGCCTTGGGAATGTTCTTTTTTTCATTCTGATGCTTATCCAAAGTACAACCTTCAAGTTCATTTCAACACAGGACCACATTTGTGGCAAAAATGGCAGAAGAAAAGGGATAATGGTATTTCTGAAGGGTCTGCTCTGGCCAAGCCTCTGCTATAGACCATCTCATGGAACTTTCTCAGCATCCCTGAGGGTGACTGCAAACATCCCCATTTCACAAATGAGGATCCCATGGTTCAGAGTGTTTGGTGACTTGCCCATGAGTGAGCACTGGAGTGAGAGTCTCACAGGCTGGGTCTGTGGGAGAGTGGTAGAAGGCTATGCTGTCACTGCCACTGCTGGAGTGAGTTGGAGAACTCAAGTGACTAAAGGAGGAACAGTTGGCTGGGCCAGTGTGGTGGGAACCTTTCCTTTCTCAAGGCCAGAAGGCATTTAGTATGAGAGTTTGAGAAGAAAAGAAAGAGACAATAGAAGTATACAGAGGATGATTTCTATGAAAAGCAGAAACAAGTCCTGGTCCTGGATATCTTAAGTGAGCTAGTAGCCTGAGTGGGTACTGCTTGGGGCAGATTCTGAGGAACTGCCTTTGAAAACCCAGGCTATGCCACAGGAACAGTGCTGATATGCCCAGATGTGACAGGAGAATAAGCCTGGATGAACTTAGTGATTCCCAGGCTCCTGGGTTTTTTGTTCTCATTTACATAATGTTTGGATCCTATTTTGAAAGCAAATATAACTGACTTGCACTTGGTAGTTTTTACATATACCACTATATTCATAAGGAGAAATATCCCAGACAACCGAGTGGTACACCCTGTCTTTCTTTAGCTTTTCATGCCCAAAAAGAAATGAGCTACTGGGGCAACTCTGTGCCATCAAAGGACCACAGGTTTTCTGTGGCATCTGCCAGAGAGGAGAGGACAGTGGTACAAGATTTTGGGAAATATGCCCAGAATTCTCAAGTCCTTCCTGGTTCAGGAAAGCCAGTCTCCAGGCTTCCAGATGTTTTTCCACTGTGTATCTCTCCCCTCCACTACCCCCAAGCTGTGACCATGGTTCCCTAGCCAACACAGGCTCCCACTCTCCTCACAGCTCCAGAACCTGGGGGGTTTATCAGGAAATTCTGGTAGACTCAGCTATGGTCCCATGTATGGCTTCCTGGGGACTATACTACTTAGTCCTGAAGGGCTCATGAATGGATCTGGCCCTGAAAAGATGGGCTGATCAAAGTAGAAGAGGAGGAGGGAGAAGGACCAAAGAGGAGCAGAGGGGAGAGGTGTGGGGAAGAGGGGGAATTCCATGAGGAACTCTGGAGTTTCCTGGTTAAGGTTGTCAGCTTTACCAGATAAAAACAGGATGCCCAGCTGAATGTGGATTTCAGACCAGTGATGAATATTTTTTTAGTGTGTTATCCTCAATATTACATAGGACCTATCACATGCAATATTTAGGACATACACTAAAAAAGTATTGTCTATGTGAAATTCAGATTTAACAGGGTGTCCTGCATTTTATCTGTCAGACTCCTGGATCCTTCTAGGTCTTACCTCTCCCATCTAAAACCCTGCCACCAAGTGAGTTTCCTGAAAGCTATAGTTCCATTCTCACACCATCTCCCATGACCTACCACACCAATTAAAGCCTCCTCATCAAAATGGCCAGAGACCTCCCCAGCATAAATTCTCCCTTGCTGATCTCCCAGAAGCCTCCTGTACCTCTTCCCTGCCATTTAAACCTTTCCTCCCAACCCCACATCTCTGCCAAGTCTCTCCTTCTGCCTTCCTGGTCATTTCCTTGTGTGGTGCCTCGCAGAGCTCACTGCAGCTGAGTGGCTGTGATTTCCATCTGGGCTCAGAGCTTAGGCTTCTTGGGGGAAGTGACCAGTCTCCTCCTGGCTCCTCAACAGTTCTCAGCTCTGTTGGCTTTGGGTGGGGAGAGGGATTCACGGCATGGCAGGTGGGGAGCAAGGAACAGGTAGACAGAGAGGGGGCAGCAGGACAGACAGGCAGAGAGAGCAGATAAGGGGCAGGCAAGGTAGGGCTTCATAGGGCTTTGACCCCAGGGGTCAGGATGGCCACTCAGACCATGAGAGGAGGGGCCACTGGGAGAATGGATGTCCTGGGCTCTGCTCACTGCTTCTCCCAGCCCTTCCCAAAGTGGCCCCTCCTGTTCTCAGGGGATGGCCTTAGGCCTTTTGGCTGGAAGAGGAAATCCATTTCTTGGGCTGGGATGTGGGAGGTGGGAGCCAGGTAGAGGGGGGTAGGAAAGCCGAGAAGCAGAAAGAACAGGGGAAGACAGAAAAGGGCTGAGAGATGGAGGCTGGATCCAGGAGCACCTGGGGGCGATGCGAAGGAGCAGGTGAGGAGCAGTTGGACTCCTGTAATTGGTGCGAGCAGCCCTGTCCTAGTGAAGCTAATTGGTTTGTTATCTTTACCCACCAAAGCATTTACTTTGGTTAGTCGCCCGATCCACAAACACTTTCGAGGAGATGACATTACCGAAAGGGAGGAACATCTGCATCAGCTCAGCGTCCCCAAACTCCTGGGGCAGATGGTAGATGAACAGGTTACAGCCCTCGGGCCCTGCGGTGAGGGGAGGGGGTGGGCAGGGAGGAGGGATGGCAGGGTGGGGGAAGAGAGAGACAGAGGAGAGGTGAGCGAGTTAGGCAGCGCAGCGGGGAGAGGTGGGGCAAGGTTAGGAGGGGGGGTTTCATTCAAGATCCAACGGGTCCCCAGAGAATGGGGTTGCTGAGCCCCAAGTCTGAGCTCTGGTCTCCACTCTGTCCTTGGGCAAGTCTCTGAACCTCTCTGTGCCTCAGTCGACTTTTCTGCAAAATGGATCAGTAACATGGGCCTGGCATCTCTGGGGCTGGGGTGGGTGGAGTCGATGAGAGAATGGGATGAACATGCCAAAGCTTGGTCAGCTGTGGAGAGAGAGGGGCAGAGAGGTTTGGGGGCTCCCTCCTGCTCAGCCCCTGCTCTGGGGAGGGTGAAAGGAATGGCCTGGGCAGTGACATCCCGTGCTGGAGAGACACTTTATCTTCACAGGCCTAGCATAGACTGGCCTGGAGTGCCCATGGGTGGTGGCCTGGGTTCAGTCACCTCCCTGACCTGCAGCCACTCCTTCCCATCTGGCCATGGAGGCACAATTGCACTATGCCACACATCATATGGTCTCCTAGTCTTGAAGGTAAAAAGCCAGATTTCCCCTACTTCTTCTAGAAGATGACACAGGAAAAACTGCACACCAAGGTGTCCCAATTAGCCAGGACACCCTTGAGCCTCATTCCATGAAACTTTCTTCATCTCCTCACAACAGTAACAGTCCTGCCAACTTGTGCAGCATGAACATGTGCCAGGCTGTTCTAAGCACTTTCTATGTATGTTAATTCACTTCATCCTTAGAGCAAACTTGTGACTTAACTACAATGTCATCACCACTTCACAGATGAGGACACTGAGACCCAGAGAGGTTAAGTTACCTGCCAAAGGACAAACAGCTAGTGAGGGAAATGGGGACAGGATATGAACCTAGGCCATGGCCTCCACAATGTGTATTCTTCTCTCTCTACTAGTCATAAAATCTTAACTTCCCAGATGCTCTGAACACTTGGAGGTCTTTGGATTCATGAAATTTCCAGATAGTTAAAGATTTCTTTTTGAATAGTCAAAATACTTGATTTTAACTCTCAGAAACAGAAATCTTTTCAAGATGTATGGTCTGTTTCCTGCCATCTTAAATACCATGTGTCACATTTAACCCTTTGAAGTGACTTGTGATCATTGCAGTGATGATGATTTCCACCTCTGGCTGGTGGAAAGGAGACAGCTACACTGAGAGCTGTGTAAGAAGTGGGGTTCTGATCCGAGCCTGGTGGAAACCTAAGCATGAGCTTAAAAGTGAGGGCTGTAAGGCACCAGTTTTTGTGGCCAGAACCAATTGTCCTGGTTCTCTGGGACCAGCAAGGCTGCCAGATAATCCAATTTGGGGGCAAAGAGTTCACCCTGGATTCTCTCTTTTCCTTCTTTCCCTCCTATCCCCTCCTACTCCCCTCCTTCCTCTTCCATCTACCTCCACCCCGTGGAGGCCCACAGCCTATAGAGAGGACTACCCTGCCCACTGAAGCCACCCAGCTGAGCCTCTGACTTCTTTGGTCCCTGGTCCCCACATTCTACCCACCCACCCACTCAGGCACTCTGCCAGAGAACGGCGCATTCAGAATCAGGCGCAGATGTGTTCCCTTGTCTCCCCGAGCTCTGCTGGCCCTCTTCTCCCTGTCCCCTCTCTGTCCCCCTCCCATCATGCTGTGTTCTCACTGGTGCATGCCATGTGAATGTACCCCTAGATGGTGCCCAGGTAGATGGATGCTCCCTTGGGGCAGGAACCATTCTTGAGGTTCTAACACCTCTTCCAGCACCCATGCCTTCTTTTCCCAAGAGTACCTCTGGCCTCTCCCTTTGGGTGTCCCCTGTGTCCATCCCCCATGCTCTAAGGGTTGGGGCTCTTTCTGGGAAGTTTTCTCTCTTACCAGGCCGGTCACTCCCTAGATGTGGGGGCATGTGCCTTCTCCTGTCCTGGTCATGTGCCCTCTGTTCTCCCTTCCTATTCCCATTCTCACTCTTCTGGGCTTCCCTGATGGCTCCACCCCATGCTGACACACTCCTCAGACTCAGAGCCCTTGTTCCAACTCTAAGTTCTGCAAGCTGTTTCATGAGGAGTTTACTTCTCTTCTTCTTAAAGAGACAAGGAGCTCTCAGAGTCAGGGTCACAGGCTCAGTCCCATCTGCATGGTGTATAGCTGAGTACCCAGGGATGGCCTTCTAGGTCCAGCTGGGTAGGATGACAGACAGCAGCTTCAGTGCCCCCAGAAGTGAAACTACACCCCCTTAAGTCCTTCTGCTTTTTCATTAAGATTAGAGAGTATCTATATGGCAGGACTAGCAGGACCTTAGAGATAATCTGGTCCAACCCAAAGAAATGGTGAAATGGCATTTCAGAGATAGAAAGCGACTACTACTAACTACCCTGCAACTCCTGGCAGAACTGCAACTGCAGCCACCACTGAGGGTAGCCTCGTTCAGTTTGTGGAGCAGGTGGCCTTCGGGGATTCGGGCAACTGTAGGAGGGTCCTCCCCAACAACCAGTATATTCTGATATTCAGAGGTGTTCCACAGGGGATGGTGGCCATGATATAAGAGGACAACCATTGGTGAAGCAGGAGGAATATGCCTTCTTTCTTGTTCAGGCTTCATACAACACCATGGGATTTGGCTTTGGTCAGACTGCAGCCCACCTTTCTGCCTATCTCCTGGCCCCAGGCTCACCTCCTGCTTGGCAGCATCCTTTGCTCCTGCTGACCCCTGCCTGGAATACCTGCCTCCCTACCTCTCTGTGCTGAAGACCTCTCCCTCCCTCCAGCCTTCCCCAGAAACCCACACCCAGTGTCACCATTTCACCTATGCATAAGTGAGGCTCTGTTGGTATCTGGGTTTATGTCCTACCTCACCCCAGCCCCGCTCTCCTGGGGTAGCTTGGCCTGAGCACCATGACCAGGGAGAAAGGGGTACAGCAATGAGAGGGGCTGAAGTGAGAAGCAGCCCACAGGGCCTGGTCTAGGGAGCAGGGAGCATGTGTGTTTGAAGCTGCTCAGAGATGGAGAAGGTATGAATTCAAAGGCAGATGCAGAGGGGTAGGTGGGGAGAAGGGCAGGATGTGAATGTGGGACCAAGTTAAAAGCCAGCAGTAGAATCTTCATGTTTGTTGGGTGAGGGTTGTACTGACCTGAAGTTCTGCGTACACACATGTGTGTGTAAAATAGGATTCAAAGATTTATGAGCCCACAGGCTAGAGTGACACTGGGAGCTGCCTACAGCCAGAAGCCAGCATGATGACAAAAGTGTCAGGGCCTGTGGACATACTTCTCTGCTCTAGGCCTGGGCCAGCCCCTGTGGCTCTGCCCTGCTTGGTGAAGGCACAGGGGACAGCAGAGGCAAAGCAGAGCCAGGGCCATCGCAAAAAGGCAAGGCTGATGGACCATTCCTATCCCACTTCACTGAAGTGAAGGGGGCTCCAGGTGTCACTTAGCTGCACCAGGGCATGACAACTTAGTCTGTACCTCTGGGTGACTATAACTCAGCTTTCCTGGGACAGAGAGGTCTAATGATGCAGATCTCGGGAGCTGTCAGCCTGTGAGCTGGGATGGCACTCCTCTTGTACAGTTTTCAGGCAAGGAGGGGTGACACCTTGGTATAGGAAGGGCTATGTGCAGATAATTGCTGCATGAAGTTCAGAGGGCAGATCTGAGCAAGTTTGACTTTCACACCCCTCTAAGAAATGGTCCTTACTGTCTTCATTTCTGATGAAGATGCTAAGGGTATAAGAAGGTTTGTCTGAGGTCATATGAGGCAGATCTGGGAATCAGAGGGTTTGCTTCAAAGCCCAGGCTCTTAATTGTTCAAGCTCTAGGGCCTTCAAGTGGCCAGTCTCACCAAAGGGATTTGGACCAGCAGATGCCCCAGATCTTTCTGAGTAAGCTCTATCCCATGGCTCCAAGGCAGTTTGCTGTAGGGGCTATGAGGTGGGCAGTGGGAAATACCACCATGTGGGCTGCTGGGACAAACTCAGTGGCCTTGCTGCCAAGTGAAGTTCCCATGGGGGGAGAGAAGACAGAACCTTATTAGTGTTCCTACACCTCAAGTTCAGCTATCTGTGTGCAGGCCCCCAAGGAAGGGCTTATTAACTTAGTCTCCTATCTTTCTGCTTACAGGGATCACTAGGCACTGGGATGGGAACACACTGAGTGTCGTCATTCAGTCCCTGCCACCCAAGCTAATGGACCTTACCTGCTTTGCGATGTTTGCATCAGGGTCTCTAGGGGTGGCTTTCAAGAACCCCCTTCCTTACTAAGCCTGAGTAAGGCCTATTGCCTCATCCTGCCTCATCCTGCCTATTAAAAGTCCTGCCTGGGAGCCACACCTTCCACTCCTGGTCACCCAGGGCACAAGGTCTCCTTTCCAGGATGAACAAGAATGTGAAACCCCCAGCCATGAGCAAGCACTTTCCTGTCCTTTCTGCTGGCCAAATCCTGCTTACCAGGGAAGGGGATTCTTGGACTCCACTTCCTACAGAGCATCACTTTCCTCATGTTCCTGACCACCTTGATTCTTTCTCAACACCCACAGCTCTCAGGGTTGGTGCTGCCAAAGCTGCCACACAGTCTCAGCTCCTAGCTATGTTCTCAGTTCCCTGAGAACACAGCAATGGGACCTCAGTTGAAGACCCCAAGGACAGGCCTCTATGTCCTCAGTAAAGCTGGGTGCTTCCTGGGGCAGGGGACAGGCTGCCACTGAAAAATACAGAGGCTAGGTTGTTCAGGGCTTGCTAGGGAAGGAGCAACCATTCTCAGGATTTTTTTTTCTTTAAAAAACCAAGATATCAGTGTGTGAGTTGTGTCATCCCAGTGGCAAGTGATAGAGGGGAGTGGGAAAGGTGTCGCGTGCATGACCCACCAGCCCTTGGTGCATTCTGTCCAGTTCCCTGTGCTGGGCCCAACCGTCACTCTTCTTTGCAGAGCTGACCACAAGACATGCGCCTCCATGCCCAGATAGGAGAGTGTCACATCCCATAACCCTGCTGCCTTCCCTCACCCACCTCCTCACACACACAGACCAGATTGCCTTTCCAACCAAGGCCATGGCCCGAGGCCCAGGTGAGACCAGAGACACAGGTGAACAGTCTCTTTGGGAAGAGGGGCAGGAGGGGATGAGACTCACCTTCTCTCTGTTGCTGGGGAATCATTGGCGGTGGCTGAGGAAAAGCCTGGCTTATCTGACCATAGGCAGCAGGGTAGGCGGCTGCTGGAGGGCCAAAGAGAAGAGGCGAGAGACGACAACAGGAGGCAAAGAGACAGGGTGAGAGGTGGGAAAGAGAGATTTCAGTGTCAGGCAGTAAAGGCCAGCCGGCCAGCTGGTATGTGTTAGCTCAGTTGCTTCAGAGGAAGCAGCCTTCAGTCTTTGGTACCAGCAAAGAAGCACAGAATGAGGACTGGAGAAGTGTGTGCATATGTGGGGGTGGGGTGCACTTGGGGGGTCAGGCAAGTCTAATCTGCAATAGTGGATAGCCATAGCTGATCTGCCTTCACTCCCTCTCAGAGGGCACTTGTGTGGGACATGGGGAGCTGCCAGATGTGTGGACCTGGCCTCTAGGGAACCTGCCAGAGGTAAGCCCCAGGGGCAAAAGGGCTGAGATGGACAAGCCTGCTGTTTTCTATATTCAGTTCAAAAAAAGCAGAGGTAGGACAGAAAAGTTCAACATACCCCTCTGCCTGGCCTGGTTCCCTGAGGGGCAAGGTCTGACATAGGAGCTGGGGAGGGCTCCAGGACCAGTGAGAGAGCTTTCTTTGGTCTCTAGAGGAGGAAGACCAGCTTTCCTTCAGTTCTCATCTCATCAGGGAGCCCACTCACCCTCAGGAGAGACAGCACTGGCTCTCCAAAGCCAGCAATAAGGTAACCTGACCAGGTCGGACAACAGGGCACAGGCTGAGTGGGGATGAATGGTTGGCTGACAGCTTGATTTGGCTCATTGGCCCCAGGCCATCTGCTAGCCTCAGGCTGTCTCTTCTCACCAAACACACACTATCTCAGGTTCCATTTTCTCCCTGCAAACTGACTTACTTGCCTGGCTGGTAGAAGCTGCTTCCTTTCCAGAGTCCCTCCTTCTCTCCAACCCAGGCATCTCTGCTTCCTGAGCCAGTGATTGTGGACTATGCTAGGCAGCACCCCAAGTCTGGCCTGGCCCCCAGCGCTGCTGTGCAGCTTGGTGCTCCTGGGCAAAGGTGAGGCCAGAGGCCCAGGGGAGCAATCTCTTTGAGGAGAGGGGTTTGGAGGGGCTCTGCAGTACCCTGGCAGTACCATTGGGAAGAGAAATTGGGCCTCAAAGACAAGTAACTAAATTCATCTCATCTGGGGTTCTGCCCAACCACCATTACCAGTCCACCCTGCCATGCCAGGAAAACTGCACCGAATGCTAGGAGGCCTGAGAGAGGGAGTCAGCCCAGATAGGGTGGGGGTGTGGAGCCAGTATAGCCCTCCCTCCTTCCCCTGAGGACCCTGCCACCCACTCTCCCACTACCATGCAGGGCCCAGGTCTGGGGTGGGAAGAGGGCATTGGTGCCACGGGCGTGAAAGGATGAATGCAGCCAGGAAAAGAGCCGAGGGGACGTGTGGATACTAACGACCTGCATACTGCTGCACTCCCGCGTAGGCCTGCTGCAGGGGGTCCGCGGCGGTGGGGCTCTGTGCTGCTGGGGAGCCAACAGGCAGAAGTCAGTGATGCGCACCCAAACTGGCCCCTGCCCCCACCATTCCGGGGACAACATAATAGTTGCATTGCCCCTTCTAGCCACTACATGCTTACTAGGGCAGTGTCTGGGACAGGGGCCCTGAGTGCTGGGCCCTGTTGGAGGTCTTCCTTCCAAGCCCAGGGCTCCTACTACATTGCCCTCCATAGTTGGGGAAGGCATGTTACAGCTGGATTGGGTGTGGCTGAGATAGGGGCTCATGCAGAGGAATATGAGGACTGGGGAAGAGAGGCTAGAGGAGAGCTTGATCACCAGGGTCTTGGTAGGGAAACACATGAGCTCCCACCAGGGCTGTAGAGCTGTAGGGCTGGAAGCTGTCAGAAGGGGTTCATCCTCACTGATCCTCAGCAGAAGCCAGGGGCAGTAAATAAAGAAAAGCCTGGTAGATGTCATCTGGGTGAAAGAAAGGCCACTGGGGGGCCTTACCCTGCCACTCTGTCCTCCTGGACCACCCACTCCAGCTCAGAGGGACCCCTCCCTCATTCTCTTTTTTTTTTAAATTTAGTTTATTACATATGCCTCATATATTTTTATGTTTACAAATTGCGTTGAGTTGCATGAAAATTCCTCTCAGCTTCACTAACTTTGAGACAGGCTTTTTCCTGACTATAGCACCCAGACCTGTTTTCTCATACCATTCTCTTTAGAAAACATTCATTTTTAATTTACATTTCCCATTATTTTTATAATATTTATTTTTTAGTTGTAGTTGGACACAATAACTTTATTTTATTTATTTATTTTTATGTGATTCTGAGGACCGAACCCAGGGCCTCACAAGTGCTAGGCGAGTGCTCTACTGCTGAGCCACAACCCCAGTACCCCCTCCCTCATTCTTAAGGAATTTTCACTATGCATGGAGATCTTCTACTCCTGGTCTTGCTGGAGACTCTTGCAGCAGGGACTGGCCACACAGGTTGAGTTCTGCTCTATGGGCTGGGAGTAGGGTGCTGCCCACAGACACCAAAGAGCTAGAAGACCAAAGACCTTCCCCTATCTTCTGCCCTGTAACTCTGGTACCCTTGAACTGAAACTTTGGCAATACATTCAGAGAAGCTTGAATAGGGAAAGGCTTGGTTCATCTTGTGGCCTTTGCTGTCTCTTGAGGAACTGTGGGCAAAAGCGTGAAGCATGCATCAGCAGTGGGCACAACCCTTAGTGACCAAGGTCGGTGATGACTGACATGGGACTGGGCTGGCCTTGGAGGCCCAGAAAGGTAGACAGGACAGATGCTCACTCACATGGAAGACCCAGCCCCAGTATGTCTGGGCAAACTGGGTAACACAGGATGGCAGGAAGAGAACCACCAGGGCACATCTGCCTGTCAACTCTGGCCAGCTAAGCTAACTGGCTATGCCAGGTTTTGAGGCCTGTAGAATGGACAGAATTCCCAACTCTCCTTTTGAGCTCTTTTCCTGAGTTTTTCAGTTAATCACTATTAGGAAATAGCATCTAGACCTCAGGGGAGCCCAGGCTGAGGCAGAGGCCGCTAGAGTCAGTTGAATGACAGGCTTAATACCCCCTAGGAGTAGCAGAGGAGCTGGCCCTTTGGGGCTCTAATCAATACTGAAGAACAAAAGAAGGGCTATGATACAGGCTTTTTCCTGCCTGGGGCTACAAATGGGGGAAAGAGACATTTCCAAGTTCCATGAGTCTCCTCTGCCAGAATCTGAGCTCTCTGGAGGGACAGCCACATCTTGCTTGTCCTCTTGGTCTTCCCAGCTTCTCACCCATGCAGCGCCTTGATGCAGATTAGAAAGGCTACCCCTACATCAGGGCACATAGTTTGGTGCCCTTGTGCAAAATATAACCAGCACAACTTCATGGCAGCCCCTGTCAGAGTGCCAGAAACACAGTGAGTGCCCAGAAAATAGAACTACTGGAGAAAAAACAGGTTTTTTATGTTTGTGAGAGCCACCCTTTCATTAAAGGCCACACTGTGTGTTTCCAACAACCTCTCCATGAAAAAAGAGGGAAGGATAGAGAAACTACCTGGGGCTAGGAAGTGAAGAAAACATTCATGAAACCCTTTTCTACTTCTCTGCCTAATGACCTCATTAGTAACTGCCAAAGAGTGAACATTTTGAAGGATCTCGTTCATTACAGTGGCTCCAAACTCCGCATTTAAAGATGGTAAATTAATTTTTTAATGTACTACTTTTCTCCTTTCCTTCCTTCCATCCCTCCTCTTGCTCTGGCAGGGAATTGTTTATGGGAGGTGCCAGATTGTTACAAATGGGAGAAAGAAACATTTCCAAGTTCCATGAGGGAAATGGCTCACAGATGCTGGTGGGGGTGGGGAAGGAAATGGCTTCCCTGAATCCAGAGATCCAGATGGGCTTGGAGGGAAGGAGGAATGGAGAGTCCAGATGTGCTGAGGGGTGGCATCTCCCAGCCCATGAGCCTGATATTAGTGGAGTCACTTCCACCTCCAGCTTGCTAAGTCCCTCTTTGCCTCCCCTATCAGCTGGAGCCTTCATCTTCAAACACCACTCCAATACTCTGGGCCCTACCACATCACTTTTCTAGATCCCTCTGGCCATTTTTCTGAGGAATTGGAGGTGCCTGTACAACAAGCACTGGAATGGGGTTAAGGAAAACTCCAAGTTCAGAGACACAAAATTCTCCTCCTCTGTGTCCCTACAAGCACAGTGGCTTTGCACTCTGTTGCTGGTGGAACTTTTATACACTATAGATATTTGAGCCATACTTCAGACAGTGAAATCAGAACCTCTGAGCTTCTGTAATTCTATCAAATCTCTAGATTCTGATGGGCACCCAGATTGGGGAACAAGACCCAGTGGCAGGAGGGGGCTGCCTGGTAGGAGCAGAGATGGTGAGACTGAACCCCTCAGTTCTATTAGGTAAACCTCCTCACCATCTCTGCCCCTACTAGGCAGGTCCCCTCCTGCCTCTGGGTCTCCAGGAAGGGCCCCGCCAGAGTGTGCGCCTTGATCATCCTCATCTTTCCAATGCCTGCCCACCTGTTAAAGTTGCCCTGAGCCTCCTCCTCAAGGAGGCCCCTGGGGCTTTTTCAGCCTATAGGATTCTCCCATCATTTGAGTCCTTCAGTGTTTTCAACCTGAGAATATTCACTCTTGATTCAACTTCTTTCTGCCTTACAGTCTCTTGGTTCTGTAGATGGATTTTGTTCTCACCTGGACTTCAACCTCCAAGGGGATAGACCATGTCTTGCCCTCCCCCGGAGCCTTCCTTTCACTCAGCACAGACCAGACACTTGCTAATATGCATTTGCACTCTGAAACTTCTCCCTTTACCCTCTAGGAAAGGGGGACAGCAGTCTTCATATCTTATTACATTATCCTCTGCTGGACTGAGCTCAGGGCTCAGCTTCCCCACACTGATTTTAGTTCACCTTCCAGACAAGAGAGAGAAGCTGCTCTAGGTCAACTGCACACTCTCACTGTGTGACAAGTGCTGAGTTTAAAAGGAGTAAAAGTAATCAGGAACAGGCCTACAGGATTTTCTTGTGTGCCACACTCTGAATTGCAAGTTTGGGAACTGTCCAAAGTTCTAAGTCGCTGTCTGAGGTGCTGCCCAGAGTTTTTTGTGCGTCAGGAGACCCGACTGACTGGTGGGTACTAGTTAGTATGTATGCCAACCAGTATGTCTCCATTTCCTTCCCCAATGAGTCTTTTCCTACTAAACATTAAATCTGATTATTTTTTTAGCTTCTATTCCCTTAATTGTTTTAGCGCAAATTCACATTCTATTAATTTGCAGTTACTCTTGGCCTGGCTATACAATTGTATCCAGTGTCTTTTCTTCCCTACGGGAGTCACTGGAATGGGACTGTTGTGATCAGACAGACACATCCCCAAGGGTGGGATTTTAGTCTCTTCTCTCCAACTGCATATTTTCAGAAGCAGGGCAGGAAGCTGGATCTCCTTGATCACATTTTGGGATCTACCAAGGAATGGACAGAGAGCAGGAGCCACATGCTCCTAGTTGTAACAGCAAGGACAGAATGGTGAGTATGCTTCCCAAGGAAGGGCGACTGCCAGATGTGCTCACCTGGGTAGGGGTGGATGCCATTGGCAAACACAGCTTCCGCGGCAGGTTGCCCGTTGGCCTGTGGGGGGAGGCCGGTGAAACCATTCACCCCAATGGGGGACGGGATGCTAGGCACGGCTGGTGCAGTGATGCCCGGAGGGGTGCTGCCACCTGGTTCCAGGGATGCAAAGGGGTTGGGAAAGAAGGGAGGCAAACAGAACAAAGGTGAGGAAGGCCAACCCATGGAGCCCCCACCTTGTTGGCTCCCAGGGCCTGAGGATAGACTTGGACCTCTTACACCAGCTCAATCTTAACTGTGAACCATGCCTTGGCTTATCTTTCTGCATAAAATGACTTCACACATCCCAATTTTATCCATCCTTCAACAAAGAGTTTAAGTCCCATCTACCCAATAGATGGGTAGGCTTCTCTTACCACACAGGCTATTCTCATTGTCCTTGACTTTAATCATACTTGTTCATCCTTCATTCTTTTTCAGAGGCTTTTGCTAACTCTAGCTAAGTCAGGATTGCCTGGTCCTTGTTTGTCCCTTGAGGGGCTGATCTATCTCCCCAAGAAGTTTTGCTGCTCAGATGAAGGTCTTAATTCTGGTTCCTTACATTGAGGGAAAGAGGTCACTGCAGAGTCCAGCCTCAGCCCTATCTCCTACAGAGTAGACACAAATGTTCCTGGAGTTGAATCAACTGTGGTGGTCATGGTAAGGAGAAGAAAGTCAGGATCAGATAGCAATACCAAGTGTCCTCTCTATTCCAGATGGAACCCAAGATATGAATGCTATGGTGATTGCACTGAGGCCCCTGAAGTTGGAAAGATCCTTCCTCTTCATGTAAAATCAGGGTTTCCCTTGGATGAGGACATGAGGATGGGCCCACTGCCTAAATTCATGAGTATCCCTGAGGTTGGGGACCAAAGCTAAGGGGGCAGTGTTCAAGTTGAGCCCAGAGATAGTACAGTCTTTCCTTGTTTTCAGCTGAGAAAGGAACAGTTCCCAGATGTCAGAGAGATCAGTACTATTATCTGAACATAGAGAGTCAGCTCAGTAAATGATAGTTTGTGGTATTGGGCTAGTTATTGGACTAGACTAGGGCTTCTCAACTTTAACACTAAGGTCATTTGGCCTGGAATTTCCTTATTGTGGGAGAGTTGAGCTGTGCATTGTAGGATGTGTAGCAATATCTCCAGCCTCTACCTGCCAGGTTATGGTAGCATTCCCCTCTCTCAGCTGTGACAAACAAACATGTCTCTGGATAGTGCCAAGATGTCCTGGGGGTTGGGGCAAAACTGCACTGTTGAGAATCACTGAACTGGACAATAGCCAAGTTCCAATCAAAAACATGCTTTGTGAGTTGGGTTTTTTCCAACCCCCATCAACCTTTGATAAAGGTTCTCTCTTGCTGGTTATGTAGTTGTTTTGGAAAAGACCAGTAACTCTAGGTTGGCTTAAAGTAAAAAGAAAAAGGGTTTTTCCTATGCCTGGGCTAGGGGCACAGAACAGGCAGGGCTCTTCTCCTTCAGACCTTGAAGAGCATATCAATTTCTGTGCAGATATTGATTGTTAGTAGAGGTCAAGATGAATTCATTCCTAACAATTCATGGATAAACAAGATCAGAGATATTCTCACCCTGAAATTCCTACCTTGGACTTCATGGACCCATATCCCATCTTCCCTTGCATCCTCACTGATCAGAATATTGTTGAGACAAAGTGCCAGGCAACAAGGCCAGCTTGGGCCTAGGCACCATGTGCTCTTGCCCCAGGATGATTCACTAGTAACTGAAATTAGGCCCTAGCCTAGACCCAGGTGCTTTTTCACTGGGCCAGGTCCTGTGTTGATACCCGTGGGCTCACCTGAGGTTGGGGTCATAGGTGCGGCCGCCAGGCCATTCATGTTGAGGGCCGCCATCTGCTGCATCTGGGCGGCAGCGAAGGCAGCCATGGGGTTCAGGTAGCCACCCTGTGCGACTGATGCCATGAGAGCCGCTTGCTGCTGCATCAGCTGGGGCAGAGGGAGTGGAAAAAATATCACACGCTTCCAGAGGGGTATCCCTCCCCACCAGGGGGCTCAGCTCCTGTGGACCAACTTCCCAGGCCCTGAGCCCCAGGGAGCTGAGACATCTCCTGGTCACCACATCCAGGGAGCCCTAATGCCTCCCCCATTCCTGCCCTAGTCCTCATTGTCTACTACTGGGGAGATGACTTCGTGGGAGATGACTGCATTCAAAAGTAATAGTAGGGTCTTTGAGATTCTGAAGTTGTTGGGGAGGGTAAGGGGAGGGTAAGGGAAGGGGACTGGCTTCATGAGTAAGGCCTCTCATTCGTGAGTATGTGACATCCAAAGTGCCAGAGAGTTGGATAAGCCTCTGTAGAGTTAATGGCATAGATTTCTGCCCCCAAATGGTCTTAACCCAGAGTCTTTGGGGCAGAAGATACAGGAGAATCATGAATAGACCCCAGATACCCTCAATGTTGTCAAAAGGTGAGTGGGGAGCAGGAGAGGCTGTTGGAAGTGGCCACAGCTGGACACTCCTGAGGAAGTGAGGTGAGCTGGTATGTTTAGAACCAGAATACTAGCTGACTTCAGTGCCATTGTGTGGGGACTGTGGTTACAAGTCTGGAGGCAGCTGGGGAGATCCTGTCAGAGAAGGCTCTACTGTGGAAGAAAGAAATTGGTGGGCCAGAGGCCTGGGAGAAGGGGGGCCTGAGGTGTCACAGGGGAAGTGCAGGTGTCACTTCACAAGACGCTTGCCGCGAATGATCAGAGACTGATAATATCCCTCCAAGCATGGGGGCAGGTCAGGGATGAGGAACAAACACTGGCATCTTCCCTCCTCCCCATCAGTGCTTCCTAGGATTCTGCACTGCTTTGGCTAAGTGGGAGGGGCATTTGGGGAATTCCATCTTGCTGCCCAGGGGAAAGCCTTCTCTCTAGCTCCTCTTCTAAACACAAAGACAACAACCCACCTCTTCCTGGCATCCACCCACAACTGGACCGGCCTTCTCTTAATCCCTTGTGAGGTTATCCTTCCTGGGTTTATGCCTGGCTCCACTCACTCCCCAGGGCAGAGTAACATTTTTGGTTATGTGTCCCTCCTCTCTGGAGCTCTGGGAGGGAGCTCCAGAACCTTGGCCCATCTGTGCCCCCACTTACTGCCTGAGCGTAGGCGCCATAGGCCCCGAAGGGGATGGCCATGGGGTTGAACATGCCCATCTGGCCAGCCATCTGCTGCATCCGCCGCATCGTGCGCTCCTTGTCAGTGTCTGCGAACTTGACCACCAGACTGGACGAGGCTCCCTGCAGCCAGGGTGGAATGTGAGACCCACCAGCCCCAGCGCTGGTCCCCAGCTGTCAGCACCCCTGGCCTGGGCCTCCTGCTTTGTCTGTCAGGCGCTGTAACCGGGTGGGGGCATCAGCATGGTGCCCAAGAGTATAGGTCTCAGCTGTCAACCCGACAGTGGCATTTTCTATCTGGGTCACCACAGGGCTATTCCTTAACACATCTCTGGGCCTCAGTGTCCTTGTCTGAGAAACAGTGTAAGGGAAATGCTCTCCTGTCTCATACGGAGACTATGAGCACTGGCCCTCTGGCGGGGTCCTGCGGGGCGGACGTCTAGGTTTCCAGCTGGCCCAGTCCCCGCCCCAAGGGCCACACTCACTGGCATGGTCTGGCTGCCATGCAGAGCGTTGATGGCGGCTTGTGCCTCGGCGTGGGAGGAGTACTTCACAAAGGCGCACCCTGCGGGGACAGAAGAGAAGTTGAGCCGGAGCCAAGGGCCAAGGAGAACTAGAACCCTGAGGCAGGGCAAAGGAAGGGCCCAAGAGAGAGGGCGCAACCTGGATGAAAGCAGAATGAGGTAGGGGGAGAGAGAGACCAAGAGACAGAGCACACAGAACGGAAAGACAGGCCCAAAGGCTTGAAAGCACCCCAAACCCTGCCCTCCCGGTCCGGTCCGGACTTGGACAGCTCGGAGTCTTGCAAGCCTCGCTCCCAGACTCCCTCCCCACGTGGCTACACGCCCCGCCCACGCACCCTTGCTGTTGCCGTCTGGCCCGCGAAGGATGGTGCATTCCTCTATGTTCCCGAAAGCCTCGAAAAGGCGGCGTACGTCGTCCTCTGACTGCTGCTTATTGAGCATGCCCACGAAGAGTTTTCTATCTTCTAGAACAAAATTAGGAGATGCTTACCGGAGCCGGGTGTCGCGGAACAGTCCCGGGGGTGGGAGGGAGAAGGGCACGGCGAGGGTGGAGGACAAGGGGCAGGGGAGGGAGGATTGCGGGAAAGGGGCCTGGGGGTTCACAGCTGGAAAGCGGGAGAGAGCAGGGAGAGGACCCCCCATAGCTAGAGCGGGTTTCCAGAGGGAGGAGTTGAGCAGCCAGAGTGCAGCAGCAGAGAAGCAGGATGGGAGAGTAGGGCATAGAGGGGAACAGGAGAGGAAGGAGGGAGCTGGGTGGCAGCAACTCGGCCTCCTCCTGCCTAGAAGGCAGGCTGCACACTTGAGGAGCAAAGCCCCTGGTCTGGCCTTCGCCTTGGGCAGAAGGGTAGTCTGGGCTGCCTGTTCCTTTCTCCCTGTCCTTTTAACACACATTGTCTTCCCCGGGTGCCAGAATTTTTTGCAGTGGCCACTTTGCTCATGCTGTTCCCTCTGCCTGGCGAGCAGTCTTCATAAGGCTGGATTCTTCTCTTTTAAGTCTCAATTTAAAATATGGCCTTCTCACCATGCCCCTTGTGCCTCCTCTCTCTTATTCTCAGTCCCCCATCCGTATAGCCCGAATTTCAAAAGAAAAATTATCTACTGCTTTGCCTGTGTAGTTGAATTTTGTGGGGCCCTGCCTGGCCCATCCCAGGTATGCTCCAGAGGGAAGAAGGTCCAGCCTCTCTGCTGCGACCGAAGAGGCACTCAGTACCATCAAGAAACAGAATGGATGAAGCTTGCCCTATGCCCTTCCTAGATGTGCATCTCCTTTCTGTCTCCCTTGCTTTTACCTCCATCTTAATGTCCAGTGCTTGGTCTGGACCTTCCTAAATGTTCATCCTGTAAAATTCAGCCTGGGGCATTTCCCAGGAACCTGTTTCTGTAGGTGCTTCAGCAGCACCCATGCTGTGATGAGTGTCAATTTGTTTGTGGACCCCAGTCAGTTATGTGCTCAAGGTGATAGGGAATCCCACTGGGCTGCATGGATCTGCAGCAGCTTGTAAATGAATGCAAAAGGATTCCCGCACCCAACACATCCTTTGTTCTTTCCACTCTTCTTAGGACTGTTGTAACAAAAGAAGAGTGGCAGAAGTGGTGCCCCTGACTTATAACTTCCTAGACTATGTTATAAAAGGGAGCAGATCTTGGCTGGCTCTCGCTTTGGGGGATATTTGCTCTGTGGAGACCAACCACCATGATGTGAAGCCCTCCAGTGAGCCCACATGGACTCCACTGATGCATCTAGTGCACCCAGCTGAAGGCTAATGTCAGCCACCAGACCTGTGAGTGAATGAGTCCTTAGATAATTCCAGCTCCTGACCTGTGAGTCTTCCACCTGAGACTCAAACATTCTGGAGTAGAGGCAAGACTTCTGAGCCCTGTGAATTCCTGACCCTCAGAATCTGTGAGCATAATAAACAATTGGTTTACACCACTTGGTTTTGGGCTAAATTAGAATGCAGCCATAGTGACTGGAACGAGGTCCCCATGGTGGCAGCTCTCAGCAGGCACTCACTAGATGTTTATGGACTGGTAAATTATTGACACAGTGAAAGCTGCAGAAATGCTGACCCCCCAAACTGCAAATAGTAATGTGTTTGTGATTTCCTCTGAACACAAGGGTACTCAGACCCTGATGTCCCTCTGTTCTCAAGGTGGTTGATTCTTGTCCCCCCCATCTCCCTCCAGAGAGTCCTCACTGCCCAGAGATTTCAGATAGAACTAAGGGACTGTTCCTTGGTCTAGAGCAAAGCCAAGCAAGCAACCCCAGATCCTCTGCAGAGAGCTCTTACCCTGTGGGTAACCCTTAGTCCAGATGCACTGGCACTGACTGTGTTCTCAATGATGAGGTGGTGCTGGATCCCTGCTCCTTCCTTAACCTGCAGGACCCATTGGCAGTTTCTGTTACCAGCTCTGGGACTGGGAATAACATCAGCCTGGCCCTTCACATAGTTGGGCTGAGGCAGAAGTTCCGGTGCCAGAACCCAGCCCTACATCTGCCTCAGCCTGGGCTGCTCTATCTGACTCTGGGTCATGGCAGGACTTTGGGGCATATTTCACCTCATCTCCAGTCCTGTGGGGTTCCCAGCTCATCAACTCCAAACCAAGGGGAAAAAACAGAGGGAGAGAGTGAATGGGAGGAAGTGAAGAGGAATAGAGAGAGATGAAATTAGAAGTGGAGAGGGAGAGCCGAGATGGCAGGAGACAGAGGAAAAGGAATCTGAAACAAAAAGCAAGGAGAAGAGAGGTGGGCAGAAAGAAGAGAAAGAAACAGAGACCAAGGTGGGGCCCTGAGGTTAGACTCCGGGCAGCACACAGCAGTAGCAATGTTTCACTTGCAGTGAAAGGGGAGTTTTTCCTCCTCTTGTAGAGCAATTGAAACTTCTCTGAGGCAAAGCCCAGTCTCCTCTTTCCCCCAGCCCTTGGCTCCCATTAAATGGAATTTCCAGAGAAACTTTGAAGTGAAACCCCGCCCCTTGCTAATCCCTGGCCCTCCAGTTTAGAAATTCCACTTCCTCTATTGGAAAGAAAAAGGAAGGAAAGAGAAGCACCTCCTCCCCCAGCCTGATTTAAATGCTGGGACACAGCTCCTTGCCTTCCCTCTCCTGACGTCTGAATGTATTCCTTTATTATCATTATGACAGCTTTCTGATTGCATTAAAATTCATCCACACGTGTCTTCTATCCAGCCTCTTTCCTTTTGCCAGTGGTTTTTTTTTTTTTTTCTAATTTCTCTTCCCCTCCCCTGAAGTCCTTTGCCTGCACATTTCTTCATTGCACGCCTGTGTCCCTCTGGAGACCTTTCTAAACGTGTAGGAGGCCAGGTTTCCCCTCTCCTGCCCATCCCAATTTCCTCAGGGAAAGTACAGCTAGTCTGCCTTTCTGAAGGGTTGCAAGAAGACACTTCAGACCCACTTCTTCCAGGTATTCTCGAATTATCCCACCTCACTCAAATGTTTGTTTTAGGATCCTTGAATGTGATGAGTTTGTATTCTCTGTTTCTAGTTGGGTTTTTGTTATTGTGGTCCTAAGGCTTGTCTTTGGCTGGAAGGATTCTGAGTTCCCAGCAGATCTCCTTCTGGGCAGGCTCATGGGTTCACACCTGACTATGTAACTAATTGCTCCTTGCTTCAGTTTTCTAGATCTGTGAAATGGGGACAAATATATTCTCCTCACATAGCTAGGATTCTGAGAGATGCTGCAGGGGTAATGGCCTGGAAAGCAGTAATAGTGGGGACCAGTTGGGTTTCTCTAGATAGGAGAAAAAGGAAATGGGATACTGTGCCCCCTTGGTTTTCCCTGCCCTATTTTGGCCAGGAAGATCACCCCTGCTGTGAGTAGACAGAGTAGACAGGTCCTCCTCTGCAGAGAGGATCCACACTTAGGGTAGAGGGGGCACCTGAGATAATAGGATGGACCAGACTTGGGCTGTGGGTGACCAGTGAAGAGAGATTATCACCCTATAATCTACTCTCCCTGCCCACCTTCTTTCTGGTTCCCTAGGCAATGTCCCAAGCTCTGTTAGATGATGAGTGGTACCATTTAGCTGGTGTCTTGGATCTGATACCAACTTAGCAAGAGTCTCAGAGACTGCCTGAGTTTCTGATGAGTGCTCACCTTCCTCCAATGTGGACACAGATCCTAACTCCCAATGTAGGCTGAGCAGACCCTGGCCACACCCAGCTCTCTAAGCTGGGGACCTTGGGTGATGGGGAGGCTCTGGTGGGCTCCCTCTCCTGGGTGCCCTAAGTCACTGTCTCCCATGATCAGGGTGTAAGAGGGCTGCTGCTCCTCTGAAAAGTTATTCAGGTAGACATTGCTGGAACTGGCCAAAGGAGATGTGGTGAGGAAAGTCCTCAAAGCCAGTGTGCAGGTGGGCTGAAGATGCCCCTGACTGAGAGATCACTGAGACCCCTGGGGGTTCCAGGATGTGGTGAGCCATCAGAGGCCAGCATTGGGAGTCTGTCATCCTCCACTCAACACAGGCCAGCTCAGGTCAGGACACCATGTTGTGCCACCTTCCAACTCCTAGGGCCAAGGCCAGTACCCAGCACAGGCAAACATTGATTGTCAGGCTGCACAGGACATGCCAGAGGCCTGGAGGAAGTGCAGACATCTCTGTACCTCCCACCCTGGGGTCTTTATATGAACTCCTCCTGGGCATGGGGTAGAGCAAAGGGAGCATGTTCCTGTAATCATTCAACAACTGCCTGAAAAACACTGTCTCTGTACCAGAAGTTTCTCTAAGCACTGCTTCTATAGAATTGAACAAGAGGTGGAGATACTCACTGGAACTGACATCCAGATGGGGAGCCAGTACCTCCATAATCAATAGGTCCTCTAACAAGACTGGGATGCCACACTGCAGGCCCCAGAACCAGTGTGCCTATCTAAGGAGGAATGAGGCCACAAAGAGGCAGAGCTGGCAGAACCTTGGATAACACCAAGGTCCTGTGCTTTTCCGGAGAGGCAGCACCTGGGTGCACAGGAGTGCCCTCAGCTGAACTTCAATCAATCCCAGCCTCTTGGTCTTCAGTGGCATGGCCCTTGCTGCTGACTCCTGCTCTTTTAAAATGGAGTACCTATGTCCGAAGGTATGTGGGAGCACCTGGGACTCTGGGGACAGGGAGTGTGGTTCCCAAGAAGGACTGGAAAACAGAAAATGGGAGCCAGTCCCAACCCTGCCTGCACCCAGGGCGAGGGCAGCTGGGCTCTGTGCCCCATATCCTACCCCTACGAAGTGGATAAAAGTATCGGATGGCGGTCTTTCCAGGAGAGGCTGGGCCAGAGCACCTAACATTCTCCTCTGGCCACTCCTTCAGCAAATATTTATTGAGTACTTACTCTGTGCCTGGGAATTGACTGAACAGAGGACCTGAGATAAGTCTTGAGGGCCCTTCTGGATTTTCTCTTTAAATAGGTTAGGAGGTTATGCATGGTTCTGAGATTCCTGGAGAATCTAAAG